GTTTAATTGAGATATGATTTTAGCAACAGAAGCCGGAGTAATTTTAATGTCTAACAATGGGTCAACCTGTTTAACTGGAATGGAAGGAAGAGAATGTCCATGAGATTCAAAAATGGAATTAGAACAAAAGTTTTTTTGCAAATAGTTCTGCCTTATCTTTGGGAGAGGAAATAAGATCTGTCCCGTGAATGAGAGATGGAATGTTTGATCTACCCTGGTTAATAATGCTGTTGAAGATTTTCCAAAAGTCTTTAGAGCCTAACTTCTGCAATAAGATGCTAGATTTAGTGACTGTGAATAATGGAGTTTAGCATCAGAAAACACTTTTATACATCGATTTCTTGCAATAATAAATAGCCGTTTGTTATCAAGAGAGTTGTTCTTTTAGAAAAGATGAAAAAAATGAATACGATTGGATATAGCAGCCGCACAAAAAAGGAAAAAATCCCGGAGTAGAATGAGGCTTGACTTGAAACTGACGTGATGAAAGAAAGGCTTTCATTCCAGCTTGAATCCAGTAGGTTACGTAGGAGGCGCATTTATCAGCTGAGATAGAAAAGCTGATCCCAGTCAGCTTCAGGGTAGTAGTAGGTGGTGCAATGATAAGGTGAGCCCAAAAAAGAAGTACGAGAAGAAAGAATTATTGAGATCATTACATGGTCAGAACCACCTAAGGGAGAAAAGTGAGAAACTGAACATAAGCTAGGGTCAGAGACAAGACATAAGTCGAGGAGTGAAGGTAAATGATTAGGGTTGTCAGGAAAACGAGTCACAAATTTAACTATCTGAGTAAGAGATTGAGAAACGCAGAAGTTAAAAGCTTTAGTGCTAGCAGGATCAGTGGTGTTAGAGCCAAGCCATTCAGTGTGATGGGCATTAAAATCACCAACAACAACAATATTGGCAGAGGGATAAAAAGAGAGGGCATGGTCAATTTGATCAGAGATAACATCTCAAAGAGTGCAATCATGGGAAGAAGGAGAACGATAAAGAACAAAGAGAAAGGTGATAGAGTGAAGAGGAACTAGGCGATAGCACATAAACGAATGGTCAAAGGATTCGAACCTGATTTCAGGACAAATAGGGGAATTAAAAAATTTCAACCTTGTTGGACAGTGTGGAAGTGCTTCAGCATTTTATAATTGCTTTTTTGTATATAACCGGAATTGTCTTCTTTAAGTATGTCAAACTCTTATCTTGTGTTTTGAACATTAGTTCCAAAAATAGTGTTGCTTCAAATAATAATAAGAAATTTAGGGAATCAAATTTAGTAAGATTTGATAAAGCTAAAACTTCCAGAAGATGTACTACTGTTGTTAAAAGTATTAGTGAAATGAATGTTAACAGAACATATATATATATATATATATATATATATATATATATATATATATATATATATATATATATATATATATATATATATATATATATATATATATATATATATATATATATATATATATTATTTGCATCTGTGATACGCTGTTCTGTTAACAAGTTGTTAACAGAACAGCGTATCCCTGATCGATTTAAAAGTTTGTCATCAATGTGAAAAGTAGAAAGGAGAGAATTGCAATTGTGGCTAAAGAAACTAAATTGCTATAGAGAAATTGCTATGTGGTCTTTTAGAGTGATAAAACAATTAGAGGTGCCATTTAATTCAATTCTGTTAAAAACATCATGATTAGTAGTTAAAAGGTGCGCACCTTCAATATTTATTCGATCCTTCAGATTTTGGTCAGCCTTTTTATATGTAGATGTAACGGCGTTATTAAGGAGGTGGTTATACCCTTCTTTGGAAATTCTGAATATATTGGAGGTTTTTTCAGCTAGAGTTAAAGTTTTATTTCATTTGCGCAAAAAATTTATTTTGTTCGAAAGTTTTTCTTGAACTTTTAACACCGGTGATTAGTTAATGTTTTGTTTTTTTTTTCGGTTGCCATCAAGTATGTCTTAGCGAAGTTAAGACCCCATTACACAGTATTTTGTAACTTTTAGCGGGTTTTTTGTTTTTGATTTTCTAATCAATGGCTGATAATTGCCGTATAGACATGAAACTTAAAGTACCATAAAAAAAGTTGTATACTCTCTCTCTCTCTCTCTCTCTCTCTCTCTCCTCTCTCTCTCTCTCTCTCTCTCTCTCTCTCTCTCCATATATATATATATATATATATATATATATATATATATATATATATATATATATATATATATATATATATATATATATATATATATATATATATATATATATATATATATATATATATATATATATATATATATATATATATATATATATATATATATATATATATATATATATATATATATAGAGAGAGAGAGAGAGAGAGAGAGAGAGAGAGAGAGAGAGGGTTTATGTAGATTTCTTTGAAGTAGAAAAATTATTAAAATATAGTGCTGTCCTAGTTAAAAGTAAGTTGTATTCTGCAGCTATTAAGTCTCAATACTTTCCTTTTTTTCAAATCTTATTGAGCGTGTAGTGTACAATAGTAGTTACAATTACTTTGAAAAAATATATATTATATATCATAAAGAATTTGGGTTTAGAAAAAATCATTGGACAGAGGATGCAATTGTTGATTTGACCTACAATATTTTAAAAAGATGATAGATTTAAAAAAAAAAATTTTTTTGATTACAGCAACTACACAGTGGGAGCTTTTGTAGATTGAAAACATTCGAAACTGTCGATCATGAAATCCTTTTCTTTAAATTGCAAAATTACGGAAATTTGAATTCGAATTTAAAATGGCTTCAGTCTTATCTTCTAAATAGTAAAAAATGTGTAACGTATAGCTTAACTAGTGCAAAGTTTGAACTTTTTAGTTATGGTGTACCATAAGGCTCAATACCAGGTCCTCTGCAATTTTTGATATTTTTAAATAAACTCCATTTACCCTCTAAATTCTGAAATTTTATTTTCGTCGCCGATGATACAAATATTTTTTCTTTTATGGTAACAATTTAAAGTTTACTTTTTCTACAATCAAAACTGAACTACTAAATCTCAACGACTGGTTTAAAGCTAAATAGCTTTCCTTAAATAATGAATAAACGAAGTATATTTTGTTTACAGAACCCTCTAAATCTGATACCTTATCTTTAAAACTTCCGGATTTACTTATAAACATTATTGAAATAAAGAAGTCCATGCAATGAAATTTTTAGACATATTTTTTGACGAACATTTTAATTGTAAAAATCACATTAAATTAAAAAAAATAAAGTCTCTTCAATTTTGGGGATCATGTTCAAAACTAAGTTCCTATTAAATACGTACCTATTAAATTAAAAGTTCCTATTAAATTCGTACCTAAAAAGTTAATATTTTTCATTTATAGCTGTATTAGTTACTTTAATGTTGCTTGGGCGAATAAACAGCCGTCTTCATTAAACAAAAATTATAGCAAACAAAATGCATACGCCAAACCTTTACTAAAAGAAGTTGATGCTTTGAATGTATACAAAATAGATAATTATCATAACTTATTGTTTATGTGTAAACTTCAAAAAAACATGCTTCCGTCATACTTTTAACCACATTTCACTTTAATTATTCACAGATACTTAACAAGTCATTCTATGAACAATTTTTAAATTCCGTCAACAACACTTAAAAAATATGACTACTCAATTACTTTCTGTGGTCACACGTGTGCGGAACTCAAACCTGAATAATGATATACAATCTATAACCACATTTAAAGTTTTTTAAAAAACAGTGAAACAGTACTTTTTAAATCTAAACAGTAAAAACATTTCTTTGTTATTATCATTTTTTTGTCTTGAACTCGTTTGGTTATGCATTTATTTATCTTGCGATATATTTACTAATATGTATGTGAATGTTAACTCTTAATTATGTAAGAACTAATTTAATACTTATATATTTTATGAATTTAAACGTGTAAAGTAAACTATTTTACCACGTTTTTATTAGCTCGCTTTCTTGTTTGTTTGTTTGTCCGGGTGGAATTTTGCAACTCAATTTTAACCCACTTTTCGATTAGCTAGAGCTCTGAAACTTTTACTATAGCTCGGAACCCGATGACAATGCAATATTATACTACTTTTACCATGATTTGCCGAGTTTCTTGAACAATTTCAGCAAAATAAAATTTATTATGGCGAAACGTTTTGAGGCGTCGCCGCAATTTGACGCGTCGCTTTAAATAAAAAATTTTCGAATAAAAAAACCAAATTTAACTGTCGCTGTGATTTTAAATGGACCGCAGCATAAAAACAAAATCAGTTGTTTACAAAATATAAAAATCCACCCATCAAAAACTAAAAAGAAGAAAATAATATAACAAATAAAAAAACTTTTTATAAAACCACGTTTTTGTAATGAACTAAAAAGTAGAAAATAATTTTCTCTTGTAACTATAGAAATTTTTGAAAATTAATTGAGTCGATAGTAAGTGACATGAAAACTTTTGATTATGAATTTCTAATAATTACGATAATATTTGTAACATTTTAAACGAAAAACGTGGTGCGCAAGAAGGAAGCAATAGTTAAAGTAATTAAGGACGATGATGATCATATAAAGTGACAAGATGCGCACCACGTTTTTCGTTTAAAATTTTACAAATATTATCGTAATAATTAAGAGTTCATAATCAAAAGTTTTCATGTCACTTACTACCGAATCAATAAATTTTTAAAAATTTCTATAGCCTCAAGAGAAAATTATTTTCTACTTTTTAGTTCGTTACAAAAACGTGGTTTTATAAAAAAGTTTTTTTATTTGCTATACTATTGCTACCTCAGGAGCAAGAAAATAAGATATATTGTCTTCTGCTTGCTCATGTCAGAATTATAAAAAATATATCGAAAGTTTCAAAATTGTATTTTGAAGCTTTCGATCTAATTATCAGTTTTATAAAGCAGAGGTCAACCTGATTATAAGGCATTTATTGATCTTCAGGAAGTTCTTCTTAACTCAATAAAAAGGGAAAGTTGGCAAAATCATCTGGAACCAGTTTGTCCCTTTTACTGTCAACATATCAACCAATCTTTAGCTAAAACACAAATTCCTCTTCTCCCAAGCATTGCAACATCATTAGGTTACAACAATTAATTTATTCTATCAAAAACAAAAAATTACAAATAACAAATGAAATATCAGACATCTCAAATATAATTAATAAGCAAATTGTAGCAAATTGTTTACTATGTTCACCAATAAAAAAAGTACCTAAAATAATAGATACAGCATGAAGTATAGATAATGTTAAATACAATATGATTTGATGAATTTAGTCAGTTTGTTTTAAAACAGGCTTAATAGGGTTTTGTCAATCCAAATATTCAAATTTTCAAATTCAGTTTTGACACTGATGTGTCCAGTATATTGCTTTGTTGCAAATCTATCACCAATTTATAAAGTGGAATCAAAACATGAACACAAAACTATAACCAGTATTTTTAACGTGTGTGATTTGTAAAATATTTAAATATCTTGTTTGGGACACAATTCTGAAACATTTAGTATTTTTCATGACTATTTTTTAAATAGTCATGTTTCTGAGGAGCAAACTGGTTTTGTTAACGTACAAATTATGCACAACAAATCTATTTGAAACAATTGACAGTATTGCATACGATTGCAAACGGTAATGTATAACATATTTTGACTTTGCAAAAACTTTTAACAAAGTATAACACAAAAAGTTATTAAAAGATATTAAAGCATATCGTATAACCGGTAAGACGCATAATTGGATTGAAAATTTTGTAATAAATAAGAAACAAAGATTTATTATTGATAATAAAGTTTAAGAATGGGTAATTGTTACGAGGAGCGTTTCTTAGGGTTTGGTTTTGGGTACTATTTTATTTCTGCTACTCATAAACGACTCGCTGAACTTAAAACGTATGCTGATAATATTCAAACAATAGTCATTAATTTCCTTGACAATTTTTTCTAATGGCGCAACAATATGTTTACGTAAGAGCTAAAAAAAATGATATGATTTGGCAATCAAAATATTTTTTAAGTAATAGTTAAAAAATTTGGTAAGTATGAAAATTGAGTTTCTTATTTATATATATTTTCTCTCAAACAGTGTATTAGAGATCTAGGTATTTTTGTAAAATCTGATATAAGGTTATGTGTTAAGAAAGCTTCAAAAGTACTACATTTGTTAAAAGTACATTTGAAAGTAGAGATTATAATATCTAAAAAATTTGCATACTACCTATTTCTAACTTTTGTTAAATTTGCGGACTCCAACCTAGAGTTCGTCAAAACTAGCGGAAATTTCAATGCTTAACAAAGTTCAACGCAAGGTCAAAAAAATACGAAACTCAAACAGAACGTTTATTTTTGAAAAGCAGCTATATAAAATAGGTTTAATGACTTCTCCTCTTACGAAAAAAACAAGGTTTGATTAGTTTATACAAGATATGGAACAACAACTTGATTAATTTATACATGATATAGAGCCATGTCAAGTTTGTCAATCTTAATTTCAAACCAGTCTTTATGCGATTTGTCGTCATTTATTTTACAGTGTTTCGTTCCTTTGCAAAACAAAATTTCTTTTGTGAATCGATTAGCTCATAAATTTGTTTCTTTTTAAACAGAGTGTTCTGAATAAGGAACTGACTTCTCAATATTGTGTAGATTCCGAGAAAACATTTTGTACTATATTAAACAAAGAACACTTTAATAAGAAAAAGATACCCTTTTGAAATTAAGTAATACACACAGTATCATATTAAAAAAAACATTGTTTGTAAAAATATTACCCAAGTTTTCAGTTTTTAGTAAATCTAACTGTTAACAATTGCATTACCCTAATCCTGATGCAGTTAAGCTAAAACTTGATTGTATTTATTAAACAGCGAAATTAATTTAAATAAAAAAAAAATGAAAAAATAAAAAAGCTAATACTTTTTATAAAAATTTAACACAAGGAACATGCAAATTCCTTGCTGACATCAATTGACGTTGCTTAATTTTTTTTTTAAATTAGCTTAAACTTTTAAATATAACTTTTTCTACCAACAAACTTATTAAATCATAATAGAAGAATTGTTGGTTGAAAAAGTACTGTCTTGCAAGAATTAATTCAATCAGCAATTTTTCTTTCTTCAGAATTTCAAAACTCGCTGACGGAGTTTAAAAAAAAAAAGAGATATAGTAGAATATTTTTGTTTTTCTTGAAAACAAACAATAAATATTAAACAGCGATTTTAAAAAAACTTACTTTTAATTGAATCTTCAACAATTCCAGGGCATATCATGCTTTTGTTATCAGTTATATAATCGTGTACTATTGAATATGTACCAGAAGTAAAGCACGTAAGTAATGCATAAATAAATACCTAAATGACAAAAAGTGAGATAAAAAAAGTAAAAGTCCTTATTTTCTTTTTTTAGTGTCTAATTAATTGTTAATAAACTTCAACTTACATTATTATTACAAACCATTTTGTTTCCTTTTCAAATATTGATTTTAAAATCTAAAACAAAATAATAAAGGTATTGGTTAAACTTTGTTTACTTATTTTTCTTTTAATATACAATATATTTTTTATTGTCATCAGTTTTAGCTCTAAATAACAACTCAAATACAAATGACCAAAACTTTTATTTATGTTGTATATCTTTTACACAATTAAAATAAAAGATCTAATATCTCTCTCTATATATATATATAATAATAATATCTCTCTCTATATATATATATATATATATATATATATATATATATATATATATATATATATATATATATATATATATATATATATATATATATATATATATATATAATTATAAAAAAATAGTATAGACTCCATTCAATTCTGATCGATTTTCTCCGTAATTGGCTCATACCATTCATAAAGAAAATCTTAAAAACAATAAAATGATTCATTTATTTGATTATTCTAAATAGTTCTATATTCAAAAATAACATTTGTTAGCATTCACAATTATAAAGCAATAAAAACAACAACCAAATACTAAATAATTTGTCGACTTACAATATTCTATATAATATTACACATTAGAAATCTATATTAAAATATTATATTAAATAAATAATCTATCATAGGGTTAGGATTGTTGTTATTGTTATTGTAAAAATTAAATACAAAAACAATTACAATAAAATAATATTGTATTGTAATACCAGAGATGCAATTAAAACATTATTTATGGTTATTGTATTGTTGTAAATAAAAACAGTTACAATAACTATTGTATTGTTTTTTTTTCTAACAAAACATTGAAGCTCTAAAACTATTGTATTGTTTTGCTGTGATGTAATACAATGACATTAACTATTGTATTGTATTGCTGTGATGTAAAACAATTACAATAACTATTGTATTGTATTGCTGGGATAAAAAACAATTACAATAAGTACATTGATGTAATGTAATACTATTTCAAAGTCTAATATCTATTGTATTTTATACCATTTAGACTCTTTTTTCACGCACTTACTTTTATTTGGGCACTAGATAATTTAGGGGTGCCCCTGACGCTCGTTTTTAGCAGTAATTTATATATATAAATTTTATTTATTTTGAGAAGTGAAGTGAAGCCAGGGAAACCAAAGAAGTATATATACTACGTATACTTTTTAAATATTAGGTTTCTAGAAATTATTTACATTTATAAATTTTATTTATTTTGAGTTCAAAAACAAAACAAAAGTAGCTCACCATTTCAGACAATCTAATTGATAATTACTCAGGTTAATGGTCCTTTGATTCCATAACGATGTAATTGTAACCAATTAGGGGTTAGATATATTGAAAAAAAAAGCGCCTAATATAGTAAATCAATTAGTTTAGACGTCATCATCCGGTGAAACATGTCAATATCAGTTTAGACAAAATTATAAAAAAATATAAAATTTTACTTCTTAAAGTAAATTATTATTTAATTACAAGCATATGATAAATTATATATTTGTATGATTTTGAATGAATATTATTAATGTTAACTCTAAATAAATTATTATTGAAACAGTTATATAACTGTTTCAATAATTCAAAAATTTTCTATATTTTCAGATTGTTTATCACCTTTCAGACCGTACTAATAAATTTTGTGTGGATCAATTTTGAAAAATGAGGTAGTTTAGAACACAAAAGATATATTGGTTCTTGATTTATATAACAAAATTCTTTTACAAATCACAAGTAATGTTGTTGTTTCTAAACTAAGTTAATACAATAGCAATAGTTATTGTTACTGTTATTGTTTTCATTACAATTACAATAGTCCTAACCCTAACCTATCAAATGACACAATAAAGGAATTTATGACTTAGCTTCACTAAATTGCACTTTTTTTTTTTTTTTTTTTACATTATCATGGATGGTAAACGGTCAAGATTACACGGACAAAACACGGACAAAAAAACTCTAAATCTCTTTTAAAGCATGCACTTGTTAATTTCGGAACGATGATTTCTTAATAAATTTGTCACTAACACATTTTAAAATTACTCATTTTTGCTTTATTACATCATGCAATGATAGCAATAGTTATAAAAATCAACAAACGAGTCAAAACATTTTTTTATTTAAAATGTCATTGAAACAGTCAAAAAACGAAAAAAAATCGAAATTATTTTGTATATAAAGTATATACAAAATTCATTCTGCATCGTTTCTTTCAATCAATAAAGCATCTGAATCTATCAAAACAATTGCTTTTATGGTCATAAAACAATACAAGAGCTCTCTAATTATCGAACGAGCACAAGGATCTGGATAAAAGAGTAGCTTCAAGGATAAGAAAGCAGCAATTAGTATTACGATCATTTACGCAACTATCCGGCTTAATGAATAGAGAACAAGCCAAAAGGTATAAATTTTTAGAGTTTTTTGTTGGGAAAGCTATGAAGTTTACAACTTAAAGTCATATCGAGGCATTAAATATCCAAACTGATCAGATAATCAATCACTGACTGTTAAAATTCTACCTAAATGACAAATTGATTACAAAATTTAATGACTCCGTAATTGTGTATAAGAAAACGTACATAAAATGTAAGCTCAAAAAGCTACTAGGTCCAATATTTTAAATTTCAATTTTCCGCGGACGTGTCCGCAACAATTTCTGTATAACTCATTAAATAAATTTGGTAAGTAACGTCTTTTGTGGTAAGCAATATGCAGCTGCGGTTTGAAATCTCAAACTTTCGCCACATCGTCAACTTTAAAATTGGATTTTTATATCAAGGAATGCTTGCAAGCTAGAATTTTTTCATTTTATTGAAATCACGATGTCCTCTACTGGTTCTGGCCTGATCTTGTTTCTTTTTGCTATTCTATGAACACCATAGCGTCGTACAATTTGTGAGTCATCAAGTTTATACCAAACAGCTTAAATTTACCAAACTAACCACAGTTCCATCCCATTGAGAAATTTTGGGGATAAAATTTTTAAAAAGAAAATTGGGACAAAACAATAAGTGTAACTAAAGACTTGATTAAGTAGTGGACAATAGTAGGAATAAAAGTTGCCTAAAACTTTGTTCAGAAGATGATGTCTTCGATTAGCGTAAATGTTTGCTTATTTTTCTTAAAATTAATATTTAGATAAACATTTTATTAAAAAGTTCTTGTTCCTAAGATTAAGAAAAGATATTGATGTTTTTGCATTTCTTTATATTTTTGAATTTTTCATTGTTTTGAATTTAACGATCGCTTGCTTTAAGTCACTGATACTGTTTTGTTTCTGTTGCTATTTTTACTGTAATATAGTGTTTAAAACTGGAAGTAAAAAAGATTTATTCAATTCAAAAAAATGAAAACTAAACAAATCATTAAACAACTTTGCCGTTTTTGGCTTTTAATTAATTAAAAACAAAAATTAAGTACGGGTAACATTTAAAACTTACTTAAAAGTGAACAACATAACTGCTACATGACAATATGTTTTTACTTAGAGTATATCTAAGACTACAAGTTTAATTAAATTGTTAGGTAACCAATAACTCAAAAAGTAAATGTAATTATTTAAGTATTTTCTTTATACAAGCTAAAGCATAGAAAATGTTTGACCTTGCTAAAGCATTTGATAGATCTAGTCATAAATTACTAATTACGTATATAAGTTTACTTCTAAATTAAGTAATCAAAAAAATATGTTTACTAATTGTATAACTAGCTTTCTTTCGAACACATAAAAAAAGAATTGAATTTTAATATAAAAGAACACACTCAGTACCAAGTGATAGCCTGTAATAATTCCCAAAATCTGCATATGCAAGTGACATTATATAACAAACAATAATCAAAAACTACAAAAATTACAAAACACTTTCACAGAGATCTCATAAAATCAGCTAAATTAAAAAATAAAAAAAACGTTTTTTATATCTTAACTGAAACCTTATTGTACCGTATTCTGCATATTATTCTCCATAAGTAAAGTTATTAATAGGTTCTTTTATAAAGCGTCCCAAAACTATAAAAAATTTCAATGATAGAGGATGTTATAAATACTGAATATATAAGTGTTGATTTAACTGCTCATAACAGTACAGCTAATCATAGAACTAAAGCTGTTTACAAAAGGACATGTTATAATTTCTGAATATAGGAGTATCCCAACCAACACATCTAGTTTTATTTTCAGAATTAAAAGATCTATAGTAACGTATTTTTCACAATCCAAGGTGTCGTATCCTCCTAATACGATATTTATTGTTGTTTATATTTAATATTTCACATTAAAACGACCCGAGTTTACGACCTTTCGTTCTTGTTATATATTTTATGTAGAGCAAGTAGCATCGTGTTGAATAAAGAAAACGCTGATAAACATCATGTTATTTTTTGATATTTATAACATCTTAGTTAATAGAATCACTTAACCAGATTCTAAATTGAAGCCCACGAATATATTTGGAACTATTTAGTTAATTTTTGAAGTTGTTTTGCGTCTGATGTAAAAAACTTATGTAGATTAAAGTTAATCACGAAAATTTGTTAAGTGAATATTTGGTCGCCATATTAAAAAAAGTATTATTATTATTTATTTATTTTTTACTCAAATATATCACTAAAATTTACAAATTTCATCGTAAATTAATATAAATTGGTTAGGAGTCACTCATATAATTACAAACTAGTCAATGGAGTGACACCTAAAAAAACATAAAAATTTCACGAAAAAATAAATAAATATAATAAAAAAAAAAAAAAAAAGGAAAAACTTAACATTATATATAATGTATATATAAATAAGAGAGAAAAGAGAAAAGAAGCAAAGATTGTTAAACAAATAACAATGATATATGTAATAATAATAGTGATAATACAAAATAAAAAAATAATAATAAAGTAACAATAATATTAAGAATATTATAATACAATATAAATTGTATGTACAAAACATAGATAATAATTAGATATAATGATAACATAAAATGTTACATTAATAACACAATAATAAATAAATATAAGATAGGTAAATAATAAATAAAGTAATA